TAATTTTTGGCCTGGTATCTTTCACCCACCACAATGGTTTTGAGTTTCATTCATGTTGTGGAATGGTTATATGTCTTTTGTATTGCTGAGTAGTATCTTTTTTTTTTGGCTTTTTCTTTTTTATCGGTACCAGGGATTGAACTCATAGACTGCCTGCTTGCAAGGCAGGCGCTTACGCCACTGAGCTAAATCCCCAGCCCCGCTGAGTAGTATCTTATGACAATGTGATAATTGAGAATTTATCTATTCATTCGCCTGTTGGTAGATTTTTAGAGTTCTAGATTTTGATGATCACAAATCTTTCTTTGGCCGGGGATATAGCTTAGTGACATAGCATGAGGCCCTGAGTTCTATTCCTGGTATTCAAAACAACAACAACAACAACAACAACAACAAAAAATCCAAACCAAACCAAACAAAAAAAGAATACATGTAGTAGATCTTTATTTGAAGATTTCTATAGAAATCTTTTGTATACACATGCTTTAGTTTCTCTCAGGCAAATGCCTAAAAGTGGAATAGTTGGGTTGTAAGGTAAGTATATATTTAACATTTTTGTTTGTTAGTATGAGATACAGTCTTGCTACTGAGCCCAGGCTGGCCTCAAATTTGTGATCCTCCTGCCTTAGCCTTTCCTGTGCTAGTATTACAGGCATGCATCACCATGCCTGGGCATATTTAACTTAGCCTTTTCCCCAAAATGGTTTCCTACTTTTTATATTCCCACCAGCAGTGAGAGTCCCCTGCCCTCTCCATCCTGGCCAGCAGGGTTAGGGTTCATCTAAACGTAACCTTCCAGCCTTGCCAATTTAATGAGAGCGTGTCTCAAAAAAATTAAAAGGGATGGGGCTAAAACTCCATAGTGGAGCACTTGCCTCGCCTTTGCAAAGGCCTAGATTTGATCCCTGGTACCAAAAGCAAAAACAAAAACCAGAAAGGGACATTCTCTTTCCAAGACATTCCCAACTCTGACTTTCTGGCCGGCTCCAGCAGAGTTCTGTTTAGCCAATACACAGAAAGCATTGAAGATGCGATGCACTTCTTACCCACCATGGCTCAGGGCCCATCTCATTTTTTCTACTAGCTTCTAGAACATTCAGCGTGCTACTCTGGATGCTCCTGACATCCCTGTGTGCTCACAGGGATGTCACAGCAGAGACAGTGGCATTTAGGGAGGGATGGGCTGAGTCTTGCTGCTGTCTGTGGGGCGTGCCCATTACTCAGATGCCCTTCCTTTGGAAGAAAAAGATGTCCAACCAGCCCCGGGCTGCACCAGCCATCATGGCTGAAGCGCCAGGCATATGAATGAAAAAGTCATTTCTGACAGCCTTTCAGGCCTTGCCATGCCTTAGCTGCATTTATCTCTGACTACAGCTGAGTGAAAGACCTCAAGCAAGGACCACCCAGCTGACCCCTGTGAACTCTGGAGCATGAGAGATACTAGTCAGTTCTTGCTTCAGGCCCAGGGTGGCTCCTTATCCAACAGTAGACCCAGAGGCAGAAGTGAACAGGCAAAGAGACTGACCAGCCTCCCCCACCGAGCCCAGCACCGCTCAGCCCAGGGGTCTCCACCTCACCCAGACAGCTGGCCACACTGGATGGGACAGGAGAACACATTTCTCTTTGTGCCTTGAGAAGTGGCATCTGCCACGTACCCCCCAGCCTTTCGAAAGGACAGCACAGCAGGTTTTCTGGGAACTGGGTCACTTTGGATACTTTGATCCTGGCAAAGGGGAGAAGAATCAGGTAAAGAACTCCAGGAACTTTACAGGAAGCCACTGGTCCTCATCATGGGGACACACCATGCTAGAAAGGGCTGGCTGCCCTTCTTTGACACACTTAGGTCATTGGGGCCACCTCTCCCTGCTGCACAGATTTTAAAATCTGTCTCCATGGATAACTGACTAAAAATTACACACTAATATGACACAGGTACACACACATATCCACAGTCCCTCCCTTTCCACTCTCAGAGGCCATGACTAACATTTTCCACTTTTATTTGAATAAGAAGTGCAAAGCATGTGGCAAAAATATCAGAAAGCACAAAAAGGTCAAGAGATAAAAGCAATTTCCCCCTTCTTCCCCACCTCACAGCTGTTCTCCCCAAAGGCAACCACTGGTGCCAATTTGTTACATCCCCTTCCAGAGCTATGCTGTGCTAGGGCAGCATATAATACAAATAGTCATAAAAATGAAACAAATGGTAATGTGTTACAAACATTGCTGCACCTTGTTTAGTCCCGGAACGATGTGTCCCAGGGGTCTCCATCTGCAGATAATCGACTGCTTTCTTGTGGGGAGGGACCCTCACTCACTTAACCAGCCCCTACCAGAGGACATCAAAGTTGATGCAGCTATGAAGCAGACAATAATCTCAGACTCACATTTTCTCACACACCCATCCCTCGATCTGTAAAGATTCCCGAGTCAAAGGCGCAAAATTTGTGATTTTGACAGGAGCTGTGTGCTTCAGAGTCCTCACTGAGGCACTTGGTGGGCAGCTCTGTGCTCAAGCTCCCGCTTTGCTGTAGCCTTCTCAATGCTATGCAAATGAAAGTCAGCCTTTTTGGTATGGAATCCTGTACTATGTATCTGTGTATTTTACACTGGAAATGTTTTATTAGGAAATTGTATATCTTTGTATGCTTAGTTGTCATGGCAACCACTTCTGGCCTTTTTGTAGCTATTTCTTAGAGCTTCAGGGTATGTTTATGGCCATTCATTCATTTATCAGATTTAGCTATTATCTGTTGATTTTTGCTTCAAAACATGAGGATCTAGCTCACACATTTACTTTATGTCTTATCTGTCTATCTTTCTGTCCTTTTCCTTTTTTTTTTTTTTTTTTTTTTTCCTTTTTATCGGTACCAGGGATCGAACTCACAACTGCCTGCTTGCAAGGCAGGAGCTTATGCTGCTGAGCTAAATCCCCAGCCCCATGTCCTTTTCCTTTTGCTTATGAAAAATGTTTATGGGCTTTCCATCTGTAACAGTGATACCATTTTTCTTTTCTTTTCCTTTAAAAACATTTTTTTTTCTGAGTGTAGTGGCACACGTCTATAATGCAAGCACTTGGGAAGCGGAGCCAGGAGGATCCCTGCAAATTTGAGGCCAGCCTGAACTACATAGTGAGTTCAAGGCCAGCCTGTACTACATGGTGGAACCCTGTCTCAAAAAACAAGAAGCACATAAATAAACAACAAAAAAGCAGCTTTAATGTCACAACAAAAACTGAGCAGAAAGAATGGAAAGTCCCCATATATCGTGTGCCCCTGAGCCCCCTGACCAACCTCCCTTGCCAGAGTGAATGAACCTATACTGACACAGTATGATCACTCTGAGTCCATAGTTTGGTCTTGGGGTTGTACAGTGCATGAGATTTGACAGTGTACAATGGCGGGTTTTATGTTTTCCTTTTCTGGTACAGGAATTTGAACCCAGGGCCTTCACTCCCAGCCCCTTATCCCCCTTCTGAGGCAGGGTCTCATTAAGTAGCTAACCTGCCCAGGCTGGACTCCAACTTTGAATCCTCCTGCCTTGGCCTTCCATAGTGTTCGGGATGCAGGCCTGATAGGTCTCTACCATTATAGTCTCAAGCAGAATCACTTCTCTGCCCTGAAAATCCTCTCGGCTTCACCTGTTTATCTCCCCTTCCCAACACCTGGCAAACACTGATCTTTTTAGTATCACTTTGGTTTTGCTTTTTCCGAGAATGTTATTCAGTGGCAATCACATCAGCTTGGATTCTTACACTTAGTAACACACCCTGGTTTCCTCTGTGTGTTTCCATGGTTTGATGGCTCATTTCCTTTTAGTGCTAAATAACGTCCCATTGCTTGGATGTACTGCCGTGTATTTATTCATTCACTGACTGAAGAAAAACCCTGATTGCGCCCACAGTTTGGCAATCATGAAGAGAGCAGCTATAAACCTCTGCGTGCAAGTTTTTGTGTGGACGTGTTTTCAGCTCCTTTGGGTAAATACCAAGGAACACATATGCTGGGTTGTACAATCAGAGTGTTTCAGTTTTATAAGAAGCTGCCACACTGTCTTCCTCGGGGCAGTAGCATTTGCATCCCTACCAGGGATGAGTGACGGGTCTTGCTGCTCTGGTGTCCTGAGTGTTTTTGGATGTTAACTGCTGTAATACACTGTGTAGTGGCATCTTGTTTTAATTTGCTAGCTTCTAGTGATGCATGATGTGAAGCATGCTTATTTGCTGCTGTATATATATCCTTTTATAGATGAGATGTCTGTTTGGTTCTTTTGCTCTTTTTTATAAACAAACAAACAATTTTGCAGTGCTGAAGATTGAACCCAGGGCCTCATGTACGTTAGCCAATACTGTGCCACTGAGCTATATCCCCAGTTTTGCATATTTTAAAATTGGGTGTTTGTTTTCATGCTGAGTTCTAAGTGGTTTTTTTTTTTTTTTTTTTTTTTTTTTTTTTTTTTTTGAGACAGTCTTGCCATGTACTTCACACTGGCCTTGAACTCACTATGTTGCCCAGGCTGGCTTCGATTTCACAGTCATCCTCCTGCCTCTGCCTCCTTCAGTGATATGCAGGACTGGATAGCAGTTTTTTATCAGATATATTTTTGCAAACATTTTCTCCCCATCTGTGGTTTATTTTCTCATTCGCAAGTGATACGGAAAAAACAAAAACAACCCCCCCCAAAAAAACCCCGATATTATTTTAAGTGTGAAAGGAAAATATCTAGGAAATAAGGGTCGAGACGGTAGGAATATGGCAAAAACCAGAGGTGACTCAGCTATGAACAGCACTCACGACCCTGGAACCTGGTACGCAACCTGGCTCTTTCCCTGGCATTCACCTCGGCTTTCATTACCACTTTGATAATGAGGGCAGTGCTTGGTGCTGCTGCTGTTACTGTTACAGCAACCTGGCTGGAAGGTTACTGCGCGCCGTTGTTACCATGTAACGCAGGCTTTGCTGCTGGCTCCGGCTCCCTCATTCTGGGGAGGCTGGCAGCAGCGGGGAGCGCAGGGAGCTGCCCGGGTTTTATACCATCGCGTTGGTATTTCACCGCCACAAAGAGCAGCGCAGGGTCTGGGAGGAAGAGCAGGGGCGCCCTTCAGTCTCCTGGTGGGAGGAGGAGGCGGATCCCGGGAGGGGTCGGCTCAGCTCTCCGTCCCGCTCAGGGCGCACGCTGGATCGGTCCCGAGGCGCCGAGCGTGGCAGCGGTCCCGCGGGGCGCTGGCGCTGGCCGCGGCTGGCCGGGCCGAGACCCGACGGGTGTCGCCCGAGGCCAGGTCTCTGCTCCTGCGAGGCGGCGTGCGGCGCCCGGCTCTGGGGAGCGGACTGCGCGCGACCCCCTGGTGCGGCCTGGGGGTGCCCTGGCGGGCTGGAAGAGGTGCGGGGAGCTCCGGGTGCTCAGGAGCGGGACGGGGAGGGCGGGCAGCTGTGCGCGGGTGCAGGACGCGGGGCTGAAGGGCCGAGGAAGGACCCTTGGGGCGTGGAGGGGCGAGCGTGGGGCAGGAGCCGGGAGCCCATTGCAGCAGGGGTCCTGCGTGTAGAATAAATGTAGCGCAAAAGTGTTGCAGAGGTCACGCCTATACATTATTGTCTGGGCGCTGTGGCGCACTCTTGCAATCTGAGCTATTCGGGAGGCTCAACAGGCTGGAGCTCCGAAGTTCGAGGCCACCCTGGGCAGCGGAGGTGGCCCGTCTCTTGGCTTGCGAGGGAGGAGGAGGGCGCTGCCGTGTTGCAAGCCCAACGGAGGTGGTGGTCACAGGGCGAGAAAGAGGGTGGTGAGAAGGAAAGGAAGGGCTGGGCCCGAGGAGGGAGGGTGCGGTGTGGAGGGTTTGGAGGGTGTGAAGTGGGTGTGAAGTGGGAGGAGTGAGGCCTGGGGAGGGAAAGAGGGGCAGGGGCGCAGTTAAAAGGTTAAAATGTAGGCAGATGGAGAGGCCTCAGTAAAGTCCTTCTGTGGCCCTGGTGGCTGCTGGAATGTGGCCGGTGTGTGTGTGTGTGTGTGTGTGTGTGTGTGTGTGTGTGTGGACTCCCCGGCTTCCGAAATTACCAGTAGCTTGGTCCAGTCACTAGTGGGGAGGAGGACTGGGCCCTTTTTATTCCCAGAAGTAAAATTTTCACCTCTCTAAATTCCATCCCCTTGTAAAGTCACTTTCTGGAGTCTGAGGAAAGTGATCTTGGGGCCCTGCCTCCCTCAGCTGGGTGTCACTGTCACAGCCTCTGGGGGGTGGGGAGGCAGGCTTGGCCACAAAGGTGATCAGCGGTGGGGGGCGAGGTCTCACCCTCTGGCCTCTAGGCCCTTGCTCTTCCATGAGTTTGGGTGGCAAATGGGAATTCAGGAAGCAGAGAAGGAAGAAGTGATTTGGGTATGGGGCTCCCTAAATCACAGAGGACTGACTGTTGTTTCGTTTTGTTTTTTGTCCTGGGAATGGAACTCCTGACTTTGCTCTTGCCAGGCAGGTGCTGCGTCCCTGAGCCACATCCCCGGCCTGCAGAGGGCTGTCTTGGGAGCCCTTTTGCCCACTTTCCTGGTGTGAGTATGGTGGGAGCGTTGCAGGGGGTGTGAGCAGAAGTCCCCTCCTCACCGGGAGTGGGGCCCAGGGGGGACCCCGCAGCCTGACCCGTGATTCTGTCTCACGGGGGCTGCTCTGCAGGGTCACACGGTGCTAACTGCAGTACCTTTGTTTTGTCCCTTTGGAACCTGCCTTCTTGTCTGGGTCGAGTTAAACCAAGGGGTCGTGTGAACAGACCCCAGGGAAAAGTTCATTTTCTAAGTCCCGGGGAGCAGGCAAGAGGAGGTATGGGGACCAACTAGGAGGCCAGAGATGGGGTGAGCGACCTGCTTTTTCATGACTCACCCTTGTAGACTGATTAAGTAATTGACCATGGTAGAGGGAGATGTTAAGGGTGACTTAAACCAAATAACCTTTACTGAGCACTTATTAAGTTTTGGAAAGGTACTATTTTAAGTGCTTTAAAGTAAATTGCCTCAAAAAAAAAAAAAGTAAATCGCCTCTTTTAAGTCTTCTAACAACTCCATGGAGTGAATAGACAGTGTTATCATGGCCATTTTACTTTATTGTTTTTTGAGATAGGGTCTTTCTGTGTGGTTCAGGCTGACCTTGAGCTCACATGTAGCCCAGGTTGGCCTCAAACTCATGGCAGTCCTCCTGTCTCAGCCTCCTGAGCTCTGGGATTACAGATGTGCCCCACCCTGGCGGAATGACCTGCTTTGGGTTACATGGCTTGCACAGCTACTTGGACCCAGCCATCTGGCACCAGGACTCAGTGTGCACAGGAGAGAACCAGGGTGGTAGGAGGGAGGGGCTTGAGCCCCGGGCTGAAAAGGAACACGACGTCTGCCACATTTAGTTGGACTCCAGGTGGTGGTCACTTGCTCTGTGCCCACCTCCGTCCGCTAAGAGCTGGAAACAGGGTGAGGTTCTAGTCCTCCACAAGCTTGCAACCTTTGCGGGGAGTAAGGTAGTTGTGAAAGAAACGCTTTTAGTCTGAGCAGGACAGAGCTTGGAAATGACTGGCGAGGATGGGGTAGAGGGGTGGAGAGGCCACAGAGACTGGCACAGCCCGGGATGGGCAGCAGGCCAGCATTCCAGCTCTTCCACGCATTTTTTTTTTTTTTTGTCTTTTTCGTTTTTATTGGTACCAGGGATCGAACTCATGACTGCCTGCTTCGAAGGCAGGAGCTTTTACCGCTGACCTAAATCCCCAGCCCTCTTCCACGCATTTTACACCCTTGAATTTTCACCTCAGGCAGACACAGTGGTGCTGTGCTCAGGGAAGCTGGGGGTAAACGGGAGGTGGAGTGGAGAGAAATGAGCACAGATGAATTTTGGGTAAATCTGGATTTTTAGCCAATAGGCTTAGACTCAATCTCTAGTCTGCCATTAAAAAAAAAAAAAAAGACCTCTTGTGAACGCCGCAGTGGATGGGCACCACTATAGGGGATGGCTGACAGGTTGCAATGCGTTCTAGAAAAGTCATCTGGGCAGAGGAGCGGGAGGGCGGCCATCTGCTCACGCAGGGAAGGTCAGGGAAGGGTGGGGTTGGGCCCATCGCGGGGGTGGGGGGGTTGGGGAGGTTAGGAGTTGGGGTGGGCAGTGAGATTGTAAGGATCCTGGGGGAAGTTCAGTTTGCTGGCATGATGTTACCTGGGGCTGCAAGTCCCCTGAACCCCTTTAACACAGCCCTCACCCTCTGAAAGCTGACATTTCTCCCCATTTACTTAAAATGGGTCTGGCTTGGTTTCGGGAAACACTGCCATCTGGTGGTATATCTTTGCCATGTCAACCTGTGGTTATACTTCCTCTGTTAATAAGGCAAGATTTGCTTGTAATTAATTCATCGATTCATCACTTACTGAGTCCTTGTGTGCCAGGAAAGGCGCTGGGCGATGGGGGCAGGAGAGACGGGACCCTGCCTATGGGGAGCTGACGTCCTAGTGGAGGAGCTGGGGTGGTGTGGGTAATCACGCAAGGTGTTAGTTTTAGTGTAATGCCCTGAAAACTCAGGAAGAACACTACATATGGCTTCCATGTCCACAAGTACAGAGACTTGGGGCTCTGAGGACACCTTAATGGGGGGCTGTGGTCCCCGAGCCCCATCAGTCTTCAGCAGCAAGTCCAAGTAGATCAGTCAGCAATGAATCCAGTGGTGATGAGATCTCCTGTGAGGGCAAGGAGTTAGAGGATGGCTTACTCGTTCTCTGGTGAGGAGGTCTGTCGCTCTTCCCGTGGCCCTTAGAGACTGCAGAAGGGTCACACTCTTGCCCAGCGTCCTTTATGTTGCACTTGAAACATGGTCCGGGAGGCGCTCAGGCAGCTCCACCTTGTCTCAGTTTACCTGTCTCAGAGCTCTGAGTGTCACTGCTAAAAGATCAGATTGTTGGGGCTGGGGATTTAGCTCAGCGACGTAAGCGCCTGCCTTGCAAGCAGGCAGTTGTGAGTTCAATCCTCAGTACTGGTAAAAAGGAAAAAGACAAGAAAAAAACAAAACAAAAAAGATCAGGTTGTTGTTTTTTTCCTTTTGATTTTTATCTCTGTTGTTGAAAACATGAAAAGCCATATTAAGGTCTCCCTGTGGGATGTGAGGGCCAAGTTTAGCCTTTTGCCTTGGAATCTGGCCCACAGCAGGAGGTACCTGTTTCCTCTACCATCACAAGACATCTGGTCCTCTGTGCTGGCTCCTTGGAGGCCCTAGCCCTGTCTGACTGCCTATAATATTTTTAACTGACTCGGCTGCCTGTAGCATTTTCCCTGTGAAGAATTAACCGAAACCGCCATGAGGGATAATGGGCAGAGACCAATCTGGCTTCTTCAGGCTGAAGGGGGTTGAAGTTGTTGAACAGCAGTCAGGGACACTCTGCAGAGCTTTTAACTAGTGGCCCTCAGTAGACAGCAGGCATTTTCATCTTGGATAGGTGTACAGCTGTAAGTCTAAAGGAGACAAAGGCAAAGAATCAATTAAGTATGCAGGAGCCAAATAATAGAATCACCAGGGTATTTATGAGTATAATTTTAGTAATGGTTTCCCATAAGGAGGATAAGGATAAGGTCCAGGGAATTTTAGAAACTGACATGTCATTCATTTGTCATTCACACATTTAGGTTTTACAATTGTATAAGTACCTCCTGTGCTGTTAGAATGTCTATGGTCCTTGATTTTGGAGGATGGCCTGTTTTATTAATTTTACCTTTTTTTAATTTAGGAGAGAGATCAGCAATAGTATCATTTAAGGCCAGCTGAGTATAGTTAATGATGGCCCCAATATGTATCATATAACCTTTCTCTGGAAAAGAGCTGGTGGATCTCAGTAAAAGGAATCTAAAAGGAATTTATAATTATCTCTTATTTTTAGTTGTTGAACATCCAGAAGATTGATAACAGTACAGTGTAGTAGAGGCAGTAAGTTTAACACAGCACATTAAATGGAACTATTATTTTTTATTAATCATGGGTGTTTTAACATTTGAGCACTGAAGAAATTTGTGGCATTGTTTGAATTGCTCAATATTTAAGCATCTCTAAGTACAACATATACATTACATAAATTTTTTGTTTAAAAATTATCATTTGACTAACCTAATGTTGGTCTGACCTGAATCTCCAGGCTGGAACACAAGAAAAAGGCAGATGTCTGGATCTGAAAGAAAATATTTATCATCATAAACAATCCCAATTTTATATTTGAAGGCATGAATGTACCATCAGATCAGCAACTGTCTTAGTCATATGAATTTTAGTTGGGGTGTCTCCCATAAGGATATGGAGATTTTTGGGGCCTCTGATTAATGAACAAGAGCTGGTTAAGTTACCAGGTGGCCACTTTCTTATTCATCAGTTGAAGTCCTGTGCAATGTCTCCTCACCCCAAGGGATTTTGTTTAACCAATTTTAGCATCATTTTGACCAGCTGGCAACCTAAGTGGAAGCATGCTTTTTAAATCTATAACCCACATAAACCTTGATTAAATGTTCTGAAAATGAAAAGGAAAAAAAATTGTTGAGCTAAAAAGGAACAGCTGTCTACAGAGAAGACAAATGGACACACATGGACAGAAGACCTGTACAATATAAACAAACTGGGCAAACAGACAACAGATATATAAACATCTTTTAAAAATTTTGTTATTTAAAGAGAAAAAAGCAAAACAGAAAAAGGGTAGAAATAATACAGAATTTAAAAAAATAGTAAGAAATCACTAGTTGATAAATTACATATTGTCCTCTTAGAAGTCGCTGTTCAAGTTACAAAATTAAAGCATATAAAGGGAACATTCAAACAGTGAGACTGCAAACAGTTCTGTTCAACAATCCAACAAAAATTTAGTAATATAGTTATCAATCCTACACACTTAAACATACATGCAGTTATATCTTTTAGAGCACTTTCTTTTCCTCTTTTTTTTTTTACAATAGCAATTACATATTTTTTTTTGTCTGTACCAGGGATTGAACTCACAACCACGTACTTACAAGGCAAGGTGCTTATGCCACTGAGTTACACCCCCAGCCCCTCATATTTTGGGTTTTATTATTCCTACAGTTCTTATTACTTTTTACACTAGAGACACAATGTGATACTTATAAACATGATTCTTATTTATTTCACTTATGAGGATAGTCTCAACTTGTCTCCATTTACCTATGAAGGCCTCAATATCATGATTTTTTATAGCTGAGTAATATTCCATTGTATAAAAATACCACGTCTTTTTCATCCACTCTGCTGTTGATGGGCATCTTGGTTGTTTCCAAGATTTAGCTATTACAAATTGTGCTGCTATGAACATGGGTGCACATATACCTCTGTGATACGACCTTTTCGGTTTTTCTTGGAAAATACCCAGGAGGGGAATAGCTGGATTGAATGGAACTTCCAACCATAGTCTTCTGAGAAATCTCCATACTGATTTCCATAGTGGCTGCACCAGTCTACACTCCCACCAACAGTGGAGCAGTGTTCCTTTTCCCCTGCAGCCTCACCGACATTTGTTATCAGTTGATTGCTTGATGG